CATTTAACCAAGTGCATACAACTCATAGTTCAACAGTGCATAGAGATAGAGTACTAAAACCTAATAGTTATACAACCCATAGTAATTCTCTTGGTTGTCATCAAAAGTACAAGTTAATCATCACATATGCAATCACCATCATTCATGTTCTCCCAAAGACCATAGTAAAGAGCAAGGAAATCCAAACTAAAATCTGGGAGTACTTTCTTGTTCTCCCAAAGTCCATCTATTGCTTTTTTTGGTTTGGGCTCTTCAAGCGGGGGTTTCTTGGCTATGTCTTCTTCAAGATTAATCACTTCTATACCAAGAGGGTCATTTGAGCATTTTGCATATTGCCCTGTGGCCATGCTTCCTCCAGCAATAATCACATAAAGAAAGAAATTCAGCAAGTGTTTGGACATTGAGACAATAGTTATAACAAGTGTTTGAGCTTAAAGAAAAAATTACAGCAAGCATTTGACATTATGAAACCCATTACGGCAAGTACTTTCACATAAAGAGAATTTCAGCAAGCCTTTGGACATTGAGATACTAATTACAGCAAGTATTTGAGCATAAGGAAAAAATTGCAGCAAGCAGATTTAGGTTCTAGTAATCACATGACACTTCAACATGTGAACAAAAATAATTCAATTGCACACCATCTATGTACAAAATAATGATTTATTTGGAACTAAAAGATGTTTAACTATGGCATTTTATTTGCTATCCTCAACCATTTTATTTGTAGCAGAAGATTTAGGTTCTAGTACTGACAGTTCCACATTGCATAGAGTATAGTTATGTATCTATCTACAAAATAATGGCATCTTATTTAAGAAGAGAATAGGATTTATGGGCCAAATAACCTCAGATTGAAGGTGCTCTGCTCCAAGCTATACTCGCAGTACTCTGCTATGGACTGCTTACAAAGAAGAGAATATGATTTATGGCTTCAAATCACCTGCAATCGACAAAGAATAATAATTAGCATGGAGCACAAATGCATGCTCACGCATCCAGTAACCTGCTACAAGCCGAACTCAAGACCACACGCAGCCTTTCTCATGCATGCACCAGACATGCATACAGCCGCTGTCCAACCCTCAATCTCCGGCCACGCACGCCACCTCAAGCCCCCAGCTGCCAGCCTCCTTGAGATCTAGCGGCACCGCCGGCCACCTCCAGATCCAGTCATGCCGCCGGCTCAGATCCCAGCCGGCCGGCCGCCACACGCGATTGCTGGAGAGGCGGACGCGTAGGAGGAGGGAGGGCCGAGTAGAGAACCAACGAACTCACCTCTCGTGGCCTCTCTGCTAGATGCGCCGCCGCCGCCGCCGCCGCACACGAGAGAGACGAGCGATGGGAAAAAATGAGGGTTTCACCTGTTCATGGGGGTGAGTGGGAGTCAGCAGGCGGAAAAAACGATTCGTGCATCAGCGGAGGGATGCGCGCGCGGGGTGGTTACCGCTGTCCGCCACTTTTTCGCGGCTGGCCGCAACCCCGTTTTTCACGAATATTCCAAGCATCTGGCTGCCTCTGTCCTTCCTTGACACAGATCCAAACGGGTGGTATCCACTGTAAAAAGAGGCTATCCCTGTCCCTAAGAGGATAGCCCTACAACCAAACGCATCCTTATATCCTCTTGTGTTGTTAGACTAAAAAAATCCTCTGTGATGTGTTGTTAGTTTAGTTTTGTCCATCCTTGTATTTCTGTTTTTGTTTTAACACTCTTCATGGCATTTTACTCTACAGTGTATGCCCTACATTTGGAGGAAGTGATCCCGGGGTACGAGCAGAGGTCATCCATTCATTAAAAGAGGAACTAAATGTGATGTGTGGTTTATCCTGCTCAAGAAATCCGTCAGCTTTTACTGCTCTTTCTGTAAGTTTTCCTCATTGAAACAAGGCATCTGCTCGATTCTTTTCTAATACCACAGTTTGGCTGTAACTATAATTATACATTGGCTAAATGTACCTATATATGGCAGATTGGGCGGTCAAAGTGGAATGGTCAAGTGGGCAGTTCTGGAGTAGTAGTCACGTTGGAAACACCTCTAAATAACATTGGAAGGACGTCTTTATCTGTGCAGTTAAATGGCGGTTTCGAGATTTGAAGTCCTGCGCAGGAGTTGTACATACCATTGTACATAACACCACCACTAATCTTGATGTTCCACCCCTGCTGGGATAGTGCATCGGCCCGGCCTGTTACATGTATGCGGAAGTGAGATGCAGCTTGTTCTTGTGGCCATAGGTCTTGACTTAGCAAATCAACCGGTCTATTACATATGTAGACAGTGACGACCGTATTTCCCGAAGAGACTGGTGAAGCAATCACGAGTTCAAGCACTTCCTAAGGGAAGTAGAGATAAAATAAGCTCAAGCCTAGTTCGCCGTTTGTAAGGTGGCAAAGGAAATGATTGTGGACTGCTTATGTGTCATGCAAAGAAGATTGGCAAATTGGATAGTTGTTTGTGCTGGATCGACTGCCAATTTTGTGACCTACGCTGGATTTTTGTCTCCACCGCTGTTGATCGGTGCTTATTTTGTGACAAAGGTGAACTTGGGTGGATGAATTGGCGTGCTTATTTTTTCCCCTGCACTCTTGTATTCCTCTACATGTAACACTCAGTAAAGACTTGGCGTATACTTTGTCTGGCGGAACTGACAAATCTGTTCTGCCTTGCCTAGTTATATGCCATCTGACCATCGCACTGTCGGATATTGAACTTTGAGAAGTCAAGTCTCTTATAAGTGTACTAAAATTAGCGGGTGGAGCACAACGTATTACGTTTAACTTGAAAGCGGTATGTGGTGCCAGCTACAAGGTGTTCTACATGACTTGGTAGCTTTCCCGCTGCATACTTTGCACCATACGCAATGTCCTGAAATATTACTAGCCCGTTTACAAGTTACGTACTCCCTGTGTTACAAATATAAGATGTTCCAACTTTCTCTAAATCGGATGTACACGAACATGTTTTAGTGTGTTTATTTACTCATTTCAGTTAGTATGTACTCCTCCGTTTTAAAATAGATGCCACACCACCCCCAGCTTTGACTAGTTTGTGAAGAATTTTTTTAGGGGATGGATGAGATTCAAAAAATAGGGTATATTTGGCCCTGAAAATTGGTGCTTCATCTTTTTGGCTCTCCCAAACATCCCCGTCTAGCTCCGCGGTCATACCATTATCTCCCTGTTTGTAAAATCAGGCATTCAACTAATTTCAGCCGACAATCTACCAGTAGTGTTGCCCTCCATATGGCTCTTTTAGATTTACTTTTCAGAAAACGATCTATCAATTAGATCACTCAAGTGACAAGGTTGATACCCTTTCGGGAGGTGGCTCTTCTAGTGATGTCCCTTGGCACAAATAAGCTTCCATTATTTGTTTGGAAATATTGCGCTGAAAGGACTCGAGTACATAAAGAGTAAGGATTATGTGTACTTTTCGTGCCTCGCTTGCCAACATGGCTAGATTGGAAATTTGGAAGAATACAAGTCTCTAAAGTAACATATAAAGGGATGGCTTATGCTGCTGCCTTTATGTTTTAATCCTTTTTCCAGCCTTTGGTGAGAATCTCTTGCTGAAGTTTGGCCGCAGTTTTTGTGTTTGCTCCTCGCAGCAGGAGCGAGTCATCGGCAAAGATTAGATGGTACACTCGGGGGTGCATTGCAGATAGGGATGAAAATGGAGTGGAAAGTTTCTGCTTTTCCGGACGAAAAATGGAAACGGAGAGGAAATATGAAAATGGAAATGGAAATTTGCAAAACGGAAACGGAAATGGATTTTTTATACGGAAACGAAAACAAAAAAGGAACGGTGTTTTCCGGTGGAACATGCGTGAAATGGAACTTTCCGTTTCCGTAAATATGGAATTTCTGTTTCTATTATAGGTATCCCAACTACTCCCTCCGTCTAGATGAGTAAGTCATCTTAGGTGTGCACCGTGACCAAGGAGGAGGGGAAATGAGAGAACTTAATGTTCATTTGCTAATTAATAGCATTGCATGCAATGAACTAACCATTGCATGTCGTGTTTGGTAGTCTCAAGTCATTAAAAGCATGCACACCCCACATCTCTTATTGGTTGATATGTCAAGAAACAAGAAATGATGTAGAATTTAATGCATCGCGTCTAAGTGTTTTGGGATTATTTGGTTTTCGTAAGATGACTTACACACCTAGACGGAGGGAGTACCAAAGAACACACAATGACACAATGAGTAGAATGAGCAGAATAAATTATTTGAGGGCCAACTTTTACTACCACACACGTACTCAACTAGACCCTATACGGGATTGTCATGTACTACTACAATACTATCCTATGTTGCTAGCACAACTATATTATTTTTGTAGTCATGTTAACAATTCCATAAATTTATTTATTTTTTATCTATATTTTTCTATGATTCAAGGAGGTTTTAAGTTCTGGTCAACAAACCGTTTTGTTTCCATGTCTGATCTGTATTCACTCTGTGTCTGTTTCCGGTAGTATTTGTTTCCGTATTCGTTTTCACGGTTTCTGTATTCGTTTTTGCTTCTGCAAAAAAATATGAAAATAAATATGGTAGCACCCAGTTCCGTCCATTTCCGCGCCATTTTCATTCCTAATTGCAGATTTGGGTTCCTTTTAGCCTACCACAATTTTCAGCATTTTGCAACATAGCCGAAAATCCTTGAAAGAGAAGATGTGCGTGTTATACGAGGCCAAACGTCTTGCGATGATAATAACTCTGAAAGGAGATGCTTTATGCACCCAAAAGACACCTCTGCGACGTTATTAACCTGAGTTAGAAGTGCGTCCCGTAACTCCCTGAAGTAATAAGCTAAGTTTCAGTGCTTTCATTAACGAGTTGTAAACGCTCAAAGTAAAATCGAGATTTGTAACTGGCTATCAGTCTATCACCCTTGGCCATATATAAGCAACGGAGGCTTCACACATCACCTGAACCAGATCACAAGAGGTGCAAGTGCAAGGCAGAGCCCTTCCCTTCAGCGTCGGACGCAGCGATGGAGACCGCTCCCTCCACTTTTGTGTCCCTTCTCCTCGTCCTCTTCATCCTCTCCTCACCCGCCGCCGTGCCCGCCGCCATGGCCCGGCCAGTCGTGGACGTGCTCACCCCCGACGTCCTCCTCGTCTCACCCCCCGCCACGCCCTCGGCCTTGGCCCCCGGCCCCGACGTGCACGCCTCCGACTACGACGTGTACATAGTCTTTGTCAGCCGTACTGGTTACATTGACTCCGTGGACTACGACGTCCGGCTGCTCGCCTCCGTCATCGGAAGGTTGGTTGTGACTTGTGTGGCAAGCAACATTTCCGCGTCCACAGCGCATAGTATCCGTCCTTCTCTTAGATGATCGATGACATTTTTGTTGTTTCTACAGCACGCAGGAGGCAAAGAAGGCCATGATCTACCACTATAGCGGTCTCGGGTTCGCGGCGAGGCTCACATGTAATCAAGCGGACCAGTTAGCAAGTGAGCGCGCCTAATTATCCGCCAAGTTTCTCCCGTTAGATGCATTCAGAAAGCTGGTGTCAGTTTTGCGTGTGGCTCAGCTTTTTTTGCTTGACTCGTGCAGGGAAGGAGGGCATTGCAACCTTCAAGGACAAGACGTACTATGTGGACAACGGCGGTCGCTTGCCTCGATTCTTTGAAGAGAATGTCTGAAGATCAAATGTTTACCCAACTCCTGCTACCACTACGACCTGAAACATGTCACTATGAAGTTCTGGGCGATTTGTTGCACCGACTGTTAAGTTTGTACTGTATGTACCCTGAAAAAACAAACGCTTGCAAGTTCATAGCAAAATAGTACTTGGGAAATAATGAATAAAGCACCACCGGGTGTGACAAATGATTCAGAAAGTTCTACTTGTCTAAGCTGATGATATCTGAGGGCCCTGTATACAATTTTATGCAGATTTTCTGTAGCCCAGATGATCTGATTTGTTTGAATCACAGTCAATTTTTCAGCAATTTCCTCTGATTCCTGCTCACTCGAGCCTAGAGAGTGAGAGGCGGCGATGGCAGTCGGCGGAGCTATGGTGGGTTGAGGTTGAAGAACGCGACGAGCCAAATTGACCGCACCCTTAGAAAATATACCAGGCAACTGCGCTATAGGCAATCCTAAATTTTAAGTTAGACAACTCCCTATGCTTCAGCCACAATAATTTGACAACTAGAAACACAGCCTATCTTGAATTCTCAATTTTCACAATAATGTCGCTATAAGAAAAGTTAAGTGTGCCAACTCTATGCAGATAACAGACTCCTTATTAAAGGTTATACATGTCACGATGATAACCCCTCTGGTACGACTCGTTATGGCTGAACTCATGATGGTTGACCACCAACGGACTCTTGAAGAAGAGGAAACGAGCATCTCTCGCGGCCCGGCTGTCGAGGCACAAGAGCTCCTGCTGCTTCCTCACCCATTCTTCAGTAGGAGCCCTGCCATAATCCTCTCTTGAAGTATCGTCCATGCAGTGGAACTCCATGGTCTTGAGGAACCTGCTCCTCCCGTGAAGGAACTTGGCCATGTCCCTCTGCCACTCCTGCCCTCGGTAAACTTCGAACACCACCTTCTCGAGGTGGTTGTCCATGCAAGGAACCGATGCCAGGACGTCCCACGACCCCGGGGAGCCGTCACGAGCCTCGGACCAAGAGTCCGACTGTTACAAAAATTTCAATCAGGAATAGGATCCACCAATGCGAATTTGGGTAAAAACATGCGTGGTCTACCATTGCAAGGGACAACATGGAGTAGATATCTGATAATACACAATTCAGTGACCAGCCAGAACAATTTACCTTGATGTAGATCGTCTCCAAGCAAGGGAAAACCTTGAGCAGCTGCATAACCCAGTTGATGTAATGTTCGTTGATGTACCCGTCCGGCGTGTGCATCAGGTCGACGGCTAGAGTCTTGAGGCTTGGCATAATGGTCTCAGCATGAATATTCTTTTCCTGGATTTGCATCAATTAGAATGGTTATTAATTAAGTACTTACAGGAAGCGATTGCAAGGTCAATTTCTGGTTGCTTCATTAGCAATTAAGCTTACCCTGAACTTGGTGAACTTGGTGTTTCCAAACTCAATCTCGTTGTTCATGCCGATGTAGCCTAAGAACTCCAGCTTTGGAGCGTGCGCGATCACGATTTTGACCGACCTGCTGTTCAGGTAGCAGCCGAGCACCTGCTCCAGGTTGGGAGCGTCGTCAATGAAGAGCTCCTTGAAGTCGCCACTGGTGCGCAGTATTGAACTGTAAAACTGAACAGAGTCTGAACTTATCTCATTGATTCAGAGTCAGGAGTACATATAGGCACTGAATACAGGCAGTTTACAGAGAACGTGCACACATATCGTGCATCGTGGGACTAATGGTGGGGAGACTAAGTCATGTAAACGTGACAGTAATGTGTACACTTAGCATCCCCCCGCAGTCGCAGCATCGATGTCGACGATGGTAAGACTGGAGCGAAATTCACTGAAAATCGCTGTTGGTAGTCCTTTGGTGAAAATGTCAGCATATTGAGATTGAGTAGGAACATGCAGTACTTTGACTTCGCCCAGCTGTACCTTCTCACGGACAAAGTGGAGATCGATCTCAATGTGCTTGGTGCGGCGATGCTGAACTGGATTCGCTGACATGTACACTGCAGAGATATTGTCGCAGAAAACAATGGTGGCCTTGGATATTGGACGTTGGAGTTCCAACAATAATTGGCGGAGCCACACAGACTCAGCAACAGCGTGTGCCACAGCTCTATACTCCGCTTCTGCTGATGACTTGGAAATAGTGTGTTGCCTTTTGGAAGACCAAGAGATTAGATTATCACCTAAATACACACAAAATCCAGAAGTAGAGCGACGGGTCTCGGGGCAGCCGGCCCAATCGGCATCCGAGTATGCTGTCAGGGAAGTTGGGGAGGAGGTGTTTATGTGTAAGCCAAGATGAAGAGTGCCCTTGAGGTAGCGAATGATACGCTTGACAAGAGCGAGGTGAGGATCACGAGGATCATGCATGAATAGGCAGGCCTGTTGGACAGCATAAGCAATGTCCGGGCGGGTTAGGGTGGCATATTGCAGAGCACCTGCAAGGCTGCGGTAGAATGCCGGGTCAGAAACAGGGTTGCCGGAGGAGTCAAGCTTGTTGCCAGTGTCAACGGGGGTGCGAGCAATGTGACAGTCAGTCACGCCAGCGCGGTCAATGAGGTCAGAGAGGTACTGACGTTGGGAGAGAAACAGGCCAGCAGAGGAGCGCGTGACAGTAATGCCTAAGAAGTGATGGAGAGCTCCAAGATCGGTCATGGAGAATTCTGACCGAAGAGAGGCTATAAGAGAGTTGAGGAAGGTAGTGGAGGAGCAGGTTAGGATGATGTCATCAACATATAAGAGGAGGTAGGCGGTGGCGTTGTCGGAGTGATAAGTAAACAGAGAAGAATCAGACTTTGAAGGGAGGAAGCCAAGGGTCTGAATGTATGTGGCAAAGCGAGAAAACCAAGCTCGGGGTGCTTGTTTAAGGCCGTAAAGAGACTTTTTGAGCAAGCAGACGTGATCAGGAAAGGATGGATCTTCGAAGCCCTGTGGCTGTTGACAGTACACAGTTTCAGTCAAGGTGCCATGAAGGAAGGCATTTTTTACATCTAGTTGGTGTATAGGCCAGTGAGAGGAGGTCGCAATGAATAGGACGGCACGAATCGTGCTTGGTTTGACAACGGGGGAGAACGTCTCATCGTAATCGATTCCCGGTTGTTGAGAGAAGCCGCGGCATACCCAACGAGCTTTATAGCGAGCCAAGCTGCCATCAGCGTGAAATTTGTGGCGGAATAGCCATTTGCCTGAGACAACGTTGCAGGAGGGAGGACGAGGAACAAGCTCCCAAGTGTCATTCTGCTTAAAAGCATCAAACTCGGAGCGCATAGCCTCAAGCCAATGGGGATCATGAAGTGCAGAGCGGTATGTTTTAGGAACAGGGGATATGGTAGAGGTGGAGGCTAACAGGTTAAGACGGCGAGCAGGGATGCCAAAGCCCCGTTTCGCTCGAGTGGTCATCTTGTGTGGGTTTTGGCGAATAGGGACCGGAATTGCCTTGGCCGGTAGAGGTGGAGTATGGGGAGGTGTGGTGGAGGCAGTATAGGGAGGGGGTGGAGGGGACGGTGGTGCCGGAGGTGTAGGAGGTTCATGCGTAGTTGTGGCCTGCGTGGGAGCTGGGTTGTCGGTAACGGCAAACAGAGGCCGTGAGGAAGGGGAGGATGAGTTGGGATGCGGAAGCGTGGAGGTGGCGTGCAATGTGGCAAAGGGAAAAGATTGTTCGTCGAAGGTCACATGGCGGGAGATGATAATCCGACCAGAGGATAGATCCAGGCAGCGATATCCGCGGTGCTCGTCAGGGTAGCCCAAGAATACGCATGGAGTGGAACGTGGAGCAAGCTTGTGAGGTGTTGTGGCAGTGAGGTTGGGATAGCACAGGCAACCAAAAACGCGCAGCGTGTCATATGGTGGAGGTGACTTGTGAAGGCTGATGTATGGCGTAGAGGAGGGGTTGGATTTGTAGGGGCGAAGGTTGAGGAGAAAGGTGGCCGTCCGAAGAGCTTCGACCCAGTAGGCAATGGGCATGGATGCCTGAATGAGCAAGGTGCGGATTATATCATTCGTGGTGCGAAGGGCGCGCTCAGCCTTGCCATTCTGAGGCGAGGTGTATGGGCAGGAAAATCGAAGGACAATGCCATGCTGGAGAAACAAGTCGCGATTGCGTTGGTTGTCAAATTCAGTGCCATTGTCACACTGAAGAAATCGAATGGGTGTGGAGAAATGGGTAGAGACAAACTGTTGAAACTTCACAAAAATGCCATGAACATCAGATTTGGCCTTAAGAGGAAAAGACCACATGTAGTGAGTGAAATCATCAACCACAATCAGATAATATTTGTATCCAGACACACTGAGAACAGGGGACGTCCAAACATCACAATGTAAAAGCTCAAATGGTGTAAAGGTAGATGTCTTTGATAGATGAAATGGAAACATACATGCTTTCCTCTCTGACAGGCTTCGCAGAGCGCTGGGTCATGAGAGTCTTTTCTACAGGGAATTTGAAAATGCTGAAGTAAACTAGATACAGTCTGTGAATTGGGATGGCCTAAGCGACGGTGCCAAAGGTTGACACTAGCGAGGAACGCCGATGCAGAGTTGGTTGTCATGGCTTCATGGAATGGATAGAGATCGCCAGTGCTATCATGTCGTGCGATCAGGGCCTGGGTTTTGAGATCCTTCACAGAAAGACCAAGGGGATCAAATTCCATGGAAACTTGATTGTCAGTTGTAAAGCGGCGAACAGAAATAAGATTTTTGACTAGGGAAGGAGCAACAAGAACATTGTTAAGATATAAGGGACGATGAACATTAGGAATAACAGAACGACCGATGTGAGAGACAGAGAGATGTGATCCATTGCCAACAATGATGGGTGGTGTAGAAGGAGATGGGTGGGCAGAAGACAGCATACCAGGCGTACCAGACATGTGCGCAGTTGCTCCAGAGTCGACGATCCAGCCTCCATCATTGTGGTTGGTATAGGCGTTCAAGGCGTGGACCAAGGCCGCTTGGTCCCAGGCAGGAGACGCAGGAGTCGTGGGAGGTGCGTACATCGGCGCTTGCATCGGCGC